TGTTAAAATTTATAAATTAATATTCATAATCAACAATTAGAATGATACAAAGCTGATTGTATAGATCTATTACCGCTTTGTGGCTCAGTGGGTAAGACGTTGGCTCAGTAACCTGGTGGACCCGTGTTCGATCCATGCATTGGCCGAGAAAGTTCATCGGGATTTTCCGGAGTTGTTCCTTCTTGTCAGTGATGCAGGACCGAGGGACTGGCAAAGGACAAGGTATAGTCGTTCGGATGGGACGAAGGACCGGCGCCCGTGTATACATTGGCGTACACGTTAAAGATCGCTTGGCACGTTAAAGATCACTTGGCAGATGGAATACGATATAAGAGTAGGCCGTAGCCCCGCTGTCCGGGCAAAATTTCCCTCAATGCCACCGTATGGTGTATGCCCGTCTTCAATAGGCCAGTCGGAGCAGAACAGTAGGACGTTAAACCCCATTTCATTTCATTTATTACCGCTTTAATACTAACTTTCCTGGATATTTCGCAAAACAAGTCAATCTATTCGAGTTTGATCCCGATCCGTATACTAACTATTCTCGATAATTTTGTAGGCTTTGTGCAACGTTCAACACGTCAGATAAAAGGTGAACAGCTGATCATAGAATGTCATGACTACATACAGCTATGCCTAGCTCACAACCCGCCGTTAGTGTTTTGACATGCACCGGTCGTAGGGTTTGGTATACGTAACTCGCCGACCAGCCGCTAGTAACTGGGTATAAATTTTGTATGTGCCGAACCAAAAGTCTCTACGGTCAGTCTGCAATCTTCTCTACGGTGCCGAACGCACGGGTTTACTCAAATACCCCGTACGTTGGGTTGGGAGCTAGACTTAACATTATAATAAAATTTCATATCGCCACAAACATTGGCCTAGGACTTAAATGCATACAGACAGGGTAAAAAGGAGTATAATATTTACCGTTATTATAACATTCTACGCCAGCATCACGACACCGACCACTATAGAATCCATCACTTTTGCAAAGATACAGATTCTTTTCGTCTCCGCGACAGTCGATGTTTACCCATGAATTACTATAACCCAATGTATTTTCTGATTGGCTACGTGCTTCGCCACGTAAATAGTTCAACTGTCTGAAACAAAACAAACATCACAATATAGTCTTGTTCGAGCAACTCATTATATATACAATTCAAAATTTAAATAAAATAATATGTCTTGTTAAGTAGCCTTATGAGAATATATCCAATATAAAATAATGTTTCGATAACATAATATTATGTTTTGTTAAGGAGCCTTATGAGAATATATCCAATATAAAATAATGTTTCGATAACATAATGTCTTCTTAAAGGGATTAATGGGAATATATCCATATCAAATAATATTTCAATAACATATTATGTTTTGTTAAGGTGCCTTATGGGAATATATTCATTATAAAATAATGTTTCGATAACATAATATTATGTTTTGTTAAGGGGCCTTATGGGAATATATCCAATATAAAATAATATTTCGATAACATAATACGTCTTGTTAAAGGTCCTTATGGGAATATATCCATTATAAAATAATGTTTCGATAACATAATATATGTTAAACGGCCTTATGAGAATATATTCAATATAAAATAATGTTTCGATAACATAATATATGTTAAGGGGCCTTATGGGAATATATCCAATATAAAATAATGTTTCGATAACATAAGATCTCTTGTTAAACGGCCTTATGAGAATATATCCATTATAAAATAATGTTTCGATAACATAATATTATGTTTTGTTAAGGGGCCGTATGAGAATATATTCAATATAAAATAATGTTTGGATAACATAATATATTTTGTTAAGGGGCCTTATGGGAATATATCCAATATAAAATAATGTTTCGATAACATAAGATGTCTTGTTAAACGGCCTTATGAGAATATATCCATTATAAAATAATATTTTCGATAAATATCTTATAATATATAAAATAATGGTGCAATTTATTTAGTATTATTTGCGTTTCATGCCTCGTTATACTGTGATTTTTCGCCCAATTAGACGACAAACGAAACGATGAGTTCATCTGGATTTTCCGGCGTTGTTCCCCTTTGTCAGTGGTGCAGGACGGGGGCCGACAAGGGACAACGTTTAGACATTCGGATGGGACAAAAACGAGGTCCCATGTGCAAATTGACGTGTACATGTAAGACAACCCTTGACAGTTGGAATTTAAAATACGAGTAGATGGTAGTACCGCTATCCGGGCAATATTCCACGCATAGCACACATCGACGAGTATGCCCTTCTTCATTAGCCCTGTTGGCGAAGAACAGTAGGACGTTAAGCCCCGTTTCATATCACTTTTGTCTGGGTACGATTGCTAACTTTTCCGGTTTCCTCCCACTGCTAAAGACCCCTACGCGAAAGCGAATTGATGAAATAAAATTGAACCATATGTTAGTCCCGAAATGACCTAGTTTGTGTCGAGTGGACGTTAAACTCTCTCTCTCTCTCTCTCTCTCTCCATTATCAATACATTTATTGTCGTATTACCTCTCTCTCTCTCTCTCTCTCTCTCTCTCTCTCTCTCTCACGACTGTTAACAATAAAAAGAAATATATTTAACCTGCAGAGAACTGTTGCGTCTTTGTCGTCCCATCCGTCACTACAAATCCGATACGTGCTGTAATCTATCTGGAGTGTAACCTTTCCTTTTCTTTCATCAGATAAAGATATCTTGGGTCCTGAAAATAGGTAGAGGTTAGTTCGATTAGTTGAATCATTTTGCTCATCATGTTTCCGATGATTTTAGTTTTATTAAATCGGGGATCACGGTGGCTGAAAAGGGCAGCTGTCTAGTCGTTCTGATGGGACGAAAATACGGGGTCTCGTGTACACATTAGCGTGCACGTAAAGGATCCCTTGATAGTTGGAATTCGATATAGGAGTAGGCCGTAGTTCCGCTGGCCGGGCAAAGTTTCCCTCATAGCACACTGTATGGCGTATGCCCGTCTTCATTAGCCCAGTTCGGAGCAGAACAGTAGGATGTTTAACCCAGCGCTGCAAGGGGACAGCCCCGGTTTCACAAAACATTCTCAGACTACAGTTAAGAAACCGGAGCCTGCAACGCTTACTTATATGAGCTTCCTGAAGTCGCAAGTACATGTAGTAGTACAACGATCCCAGACATAATATGTCACCCGATGGGGTGGAGTCGCCCTTATACCCAAAATTTCAGCCTTAGTGGAGAGAGAGAGAGAGAGAGAGAGAGGGGGGGGAGCGCAGCACCCGGAGAAAACTCACGCCGTTGGACAGGAAATCCTACTCCTTGTCACATATAAGCGTGAAATGGAAACCATACCACTTGACTCACTGATTGACACTGTATGTTAACCCACTACACCAGCCAACCCCACAAATCCGAAAGGCAATGGATTTGGACCCTTTACAAAATACAGATAAAATCAACCAACCCGTCGTTCTATATCTGTGGCATATAACTCCACCAACTAATCCTGTAGAGGTCAAAGGTCGAGAACAGCCTGTATTAAAGTCATTTCGTTGACACTGGTCCATTTCCGTTTCGTTTCCACTGCAGTTAAACTTTCCATATATGACCGGCAATGTCTGATGGTTTACTCCGTAACCAGCAATTCCTATCGAACAAAAGCTACATTATAATAAAAGCAGGTGCGGATCCAGGAATTTTTGCAGGAGGGGGTTTGTCAGGTTCCTGAGACAATGTATCCCCCCCCCCACCCGCATGGTCTCTATCGTCATTTTTGCGTATATACATACACATTGAGCTTTTTAAACAGAAAAATTCAACACCTCGTTTGACGTCAGTTTTTTATTATGAATTAATACAATGACATTGTGGTTCATTTTCATGGATGCAAAGCATTAATTGTGATATCACATAATGTCTATATCATTATCTCGTGCTTTGAGTGCCCATCCTGTCCCACATCTGACGCTAAAGGATAAAGCACACGGTCGATAAACTTTTCTCATAAAAAGTGTTGATTTACAAAAAAAAATTATGTAGCTGAGCAGGGGGGAGGGGGGACCCCTCTGGATCCGCCCCTGAAAAGGTTAAGGTTTGAAAAATATCCAAATTTTCCAATATTATGTATGAACCTTGAGAATTTAATCTACAGTATTTATGACATGAGATCTATGGCACTAAAAAATATTAGAAATGCCAACCCAATGTAGTTTTGCTTTGACCATGCACAATGTTCCCTGTAACTTTCGGTAGTCAGAGTTGCCAAACATATGTTACGCAAATTCTATTCCTGTGAAAATAGCATGTATGCGCAGCCTATCTCTCATGCCTAATAAAATTGCATTATTCATTAGCATGTTTAATAAGTAAGATTGCATTAGAAATAGAATAGTTTTGTATCATATGGCCTAAAATATTTGTGCAGACTATTAATTTCCTTTGTGTGCTCGTTGCAAAACGTGTGCGCACACCTTATATAGAGAAATAGCAATGAATATAGAGTTTATTCTTAGATTTAAAGATCTTACCTCCTTTATAACGCCTTTGTTTGCATACAACATTTGCTTCCGAATCAGTCCAAGCTGTTGGACAAATAACTCCGGTTATGCCATTACCATTGACTGTAACCGTTCCGTACCAGTTAGACTGTATCGAAACAGCAATGGCTATCAATGAAATAAAATCAAATTAGGTTTAATATCATACTTTACTGGTCTGGGCTACGGAAGACGTTATACGCCATACAGTGTGCTATGAGAGAAAATGACACGGACAGTGTCATTACGGTCTACCCATATCGAATTCCAACTGTCAAGGGTTCTTTTAAGTGAATGCCAATGTCTACCCGGGATCTCGGGTTTTCATAACATCCGAACGACTAGAAAGCTGTCCTTATCAGGCCCTCCGTCCTGCATCACTAATAAGCGGAAACAACTCCGAAAAACAACTTTCTCGGCCAACACCGGGAGCGAACCCGAGACCTCCAGACTAGCGAGTCAGCGTCCTACGCACCGAGGTCCCCTCTATGGCTGTAATCATAAGATGAAAACGGGTCGTTATTTGCAATTTTCGGACAATATGTAATTTAATATGTACTCGATCAGATTGATTAATTAACATTTAATTTACAACACAACACAAAATATCAAGGCTATATCCGCCGGCTTGGAGTATTTCTAATTTAAAAAAGGTCCATCAACAGATTTTACCTAGCACTAGATTGTTGATATCATATCCAGAGGATGTCAAAAGTTTTGAAATTGTTAATTTATCAAAGTAAATACTGAACGGAATTGAACCATATTAACCTTACAATAGTGTAGGTTTGAACGGGATTCAGAAACACGCAGATGCTGGTCAGCTGTCTATGTTCCATGTTCCGGTTAACGGAAACGTTTGCGTGCACAAGATTTTTAATACAAAATTGAGGAATTTGGAGGAGAAATGAATGCACAACGAACAATTTTAAACGAGAACCCAACACGGACGAAACTATAGGGAAAAAAATACATTTGCTGAAATAAGAGGGAATTTAGCTTTTAGCTGGTTGTTATAATTACCTGTGTCGTTAAATGTTCTTTTAGAACAAATTAATGTTGTATAATTATTTGATTGACACCCGGAAGTAAGAAAGTAGTTATCCAGAAAACGTGTACCGTTATCCTCTAGGAAAGAGCGGCTATTTATGGTCAGAGCATTAATCGACATGTTACCACCAATTGACGAACAGCATCGGTACGTGCCGTCTGTATATCCAAGTATCTGGCATGCCTCCTCGGCGACAGAAAGGTTAAAATTTGTATCACAAACAGGCCTCCATACTTCATTATGCAAAACTTCTACCCGACCATAATTTAGATATGACTTGGTTGACCCTGTTAATCTTACTAAAATAAAATATAATGCAATTAAAACGTACATTAAATTGGCAAAGATCTCAACATTTTCTCGTCATATCATAAATTATTTTAGAACATCTGAGTTTATAAAGCGCCCGCGTTACCCACTATAGACTAACAGTCAGTTGAGAGAGTGTTTAGTTTTTGTATGCATAAAGATATATATAAAAAGATCGAAGATTACAATGATTACATATTGCTTCCACATCATTACCGAAACACTGGCACACAAATCTACAGTATTCACATAAATTTAGCATTTCGTTTTTATAGTTCAAAATTTCGTTTTACTTGTCTTTACTACACTGTAGGCCATCGAAAGTATATAAAAACGAAACGAAATATAGATCTGTATTTTAATCAGATTGGTATTTAGTAATTGAATTGGAAATACAAAGGAAATCATTTAAAGGACAATATTGGCGCCAGTCATTATCACATATGTGTTAGAGCTGGTTAAACACATTCCAAATATACTTTTACCCCATAGATCATTGCTACGATAGCTGAGTAATACAGGTTTCCCGTATCGGAAGTGACGAACGCCAAAGGAAAACACGAGTCACCGCTCTATATAACTGACTGAAGCGACGATTGATAACAGATACACGGCCGAATTTCTGCTCACTAATAATTCCTTTGAAGACCAACAGTTGTTGTGTGAGACTGTGAGAGGATATCTGACAATTCATAAAAGAATTGACTGCCACTAGATAAGAGAACACGAAGAAAAACTGAAAAAGTCCGTGCATTACCATGTTTTATAAGGTATAGAATGAATATAAACAAGGGAATGTACGGACTATTTCTATTTTTCTCGTGTTCTCTTATCTAATGACATTCAATTACTTTATTGAATTGTCAGATATCCTCTTACAGTCCCATATAACAACTTTTGGTCATCGAAGGAATTATTAGTAAGTAGAAATTCGGCCATGTATCTGATATCAATAGTCGCTTCAGTCAGTTATATAGAGCGGCGACTCGTGTTTTCCTTTGGCGTTCGTCACTTCCGATACGGGAAACCTGTATTACTCAGCTATCGTAGCAATGATCTCTGTGTTAAAAATATATTTGGAATGTGTTTAACCAGCTCTAACACATATGTGATAATGACTGGCACCAACATTGTCCTTTAATAGAAAACAATTTGCTGTTTATTACTGAGCCACGTTTCGATTAGAATACTCTCACGTCCCATTATATTTGCCATGTGTCATTGGTTGATACAGACTTGAGAATCCTTATCCTCAGTTAATGACAGCTCTATATGGACCAGGAAACGAACAAGCCTTCATAGCAATCGTACTTGAATTGGTAGGGCCCTAAACTTTTAACAAGAAGAGTGTCGCCTTTGTCAGTGCTTCACAGAACTAAGACATCCTTATTTGGTTCCTTCGCAGTTGATTGGCCAGTACGAGAGAGAGGGGGAGAAATGGGGTTAAACGTCCACTCGACAAAAACTAGGTCATTTCGGAACTAAGATATGGTTTAATTTTATTTCAATAATTCGCTTGCGCGTAGAAGTATTTAGAAGTGGGAGGAAACCGAAGGATCCGGAGAAAACCCACGAGGTTGGACAGCCAACTTGTCACCCAACTTGGCCTGTTCGATCTGGGAACAAGCCAATGTATTATGTTCGACATCACCATCGTGTTCCACAAACAAAATGTCTACCTCGGTATTTCATCTTTCACAAAAAAACACAAGATTTGCATTCTCAACAGAAGTCTCGCCGAAGACAACTCTGTTTGGGGGATGGCAAGATTTGTAGCGTTTAGAGCATAGTTCCAGTGTAAGTATAATCTCTGCATAAAAAAAGACAAATTTAAATCTTACTATCAGAGTAGCATTTGACACCAAGATCCACAATGTTACTACACTGTGCATTATCATCAAATCGTAATCCACAATCTAATAATGACTTCTCTGTTCCCACACAGTCCATCCTTGTGATGTGGATCGGCCCAGATTTATAGCCATAGGTTCTTTGCGGTACCACGTTACCACCTAGATAAAACGATAAATAATACACGCCATTTAACAGTTATGTAGAAGATATCCCTACATGAGGGTGGACGCGCACGTTAACATCTTCTTTCACACGTAACAATTTAAAGTCGATCACAAGTTGAACCCTGTTACTTTTTCTAACGACTGGTGCGCTAAACGCTGCTATGTTTGCACTGTTTTTAACATTTGGCGGGCTAATGCAGTGTCCTTTAAGTGAGTCTACTCTCCATCGAATTCCAACAGTCAGGCGTTCTCGGCGTACACCTGGATCAAACCCAAAACTTCCTGGTTATTGAGCTAGAACCCTACTCACTGCGCCACCGTGGTTTTCATAAAACTACTGGCCCCGAGTTCACAAAGCATTCTGAAACTTACGTTAAAAGAATTGACTCAAAAATAAAAAAAAATCGACTTAAAAAATATATAGCCCTTTATAACGCTTTTGTTGTTTTAATGTATCAAATACATCAATAAGAAACTATGTGCACAGTGTTTTCTGGATCAAAGATATTTCTCATAAACAGTGATTGAAAAGTCGTAACTTAAGTCTGAGATTGTTTTGTGAACTCTCCCCGTCTTCATTAGCCCAGTCGGAGCAGACCAGTAGAACGTTAAACCCAATTTCATTTCATTTTAGTTTTGTGAAATTGGGGGCCAGATAAAGACTCCATAAATAGCAGGCGCTAATCACATGAATTTTTTTATTCCATCAATCTGATTAAAACACAGATCCTATTTCATTTCATTTTTATAGTTAAAAATCTCGTTTTACTTGTCTTTACTACACTAGGATCTGGAAGATTTGTTATCATTGACGTGTTCTGAATGATGTGAGGGATTAGCCAATGAAACGTTCTGTTACGGCGAGTTATTGGCCTTTTAATGCAGGGAACTGTGGGTAAACTCCTAGAAACGCCAACGCTGATTGATTAATCGTTTGACCCCTGACGCGAACTCCCACTATAACTTGTCAGATCTTCATGTAGTGTAGGCCATCGAAAGTATATAAAAAAAACGAAACGAAATATAGATCTGTATTTTAATCAGATTGTTATTCCATACTCTGCTAATCACTTACCTGAATAATTTAACATTCGGCATATCACCGATGCTTCTTCGTCATCTACAGCATATGATTCACATACAGAGCCCCATTCACCATTCACCAACACTTCAACCCGTCCTTGTGATGCTGACGACGAGCCTACCAATCGTATGTTAAACCCTGGGGATAGTCGAGAATGAATGAATGTATATTTCAAGATTTTGCCCACTTGATACCAAAAACAATATTGTTCCAGGTAAAGATAGAAGTAACGTAAAAAAAAAAACCAATGTAACAATATAAACAAAAACCTCAACTGCTTAAGTTGAGAGAATACTCTTCGAAACATCGCCTTAATTAATCAGTAGCTGTTTTCCATAAGTATGTTTATAGTTTATTTATCTGCCCAGTTACTAAACGTCACTTGAAGAATACTTCAGTTCTGGTGTCTGAATGTGGGGTCGGGTTGCGGCATTTTAGCACAGTTTAGTTGTTCTAAGAAACATAAAATACACTGATATGCACGTAGGCTGATATTTACTTCCATGACTTGTACCATGTATATAATGTAAGAACATAAACAAAAAATCATTTTGTGTTCTCTTTTGGTGAAAACCGGTAAAACAAATGTTTTCTTAAAACTCTAAAATACATGCAGATTAATTAAATCATGTTTTGTGTTGTCACCTTCGTGGGTTTTTTTAGTCTGAAAGTGGAGTGTCTGTTAACAAGCCTATTTTCGTTGTATTTTAGCGATGTATCATTTTAAAAGAAAGCCAGTGAAACACAAATTTTCATAAAACCTTGAAATACATACAGATTTATTCTGTAATATTTTTGTGTATTAACTACCCTTTACACTACTAGTGTACGTTTGTTTTTCGGGAGGAGGGGGTGACGATGGCTATAAGTGGGTAAGACGTAGGATCGCTAACCTGGAGATCGGGTGTTCGATCCCTGCATTGACCGAAAAAGTACATCCAGATTTTCCGGCGTGGTTTTCCCGTTGGCAGTGATGCAGGACGACGGACCTGATAAAGACATCTGTCTAGTCGTTCGGATGGGACGAAAAACCAAGGCCCCGTGTACACATTAGTATGCACGCAAAAGACCCCTTGACAGTTGGAATTCGATAGAAGAGTAGGCCGTAGTGCCGCTGTCCGGGCAAAATTTCCCTCATAGCACACTGTATGGCGTATGCCCGTCTTCATTAGCCAAGTTCGGAGCAGAACAGTAAGGTCGTTAAACCCACTTTCCTTGTTTTTTGGTAAGTTATTATCTATAACTCATATCTTACCTGGGTTTCTAGAGCAATATACAGCAGCCGATCTGTCCAAATTACATTCAGAAATATTTCCCCATTCCAAACCTGGACACTGACTGATATACGATTCATTGCCAGAGCAATCAAGGCCTGATAACCACTTTACTCCAGGGTTACGCAATTCTCCGCCCAGATTGATTCTGTTGTAAGCGAATCCCCCTGTGTACGAATCATCTCCAACCTCCTTACAAACCACGCTGGCATCATTGTCATCCCAATGGTTAGGAAAAATCGTACCCACAATACCCAGGTGGTTTATGGTGACTTTACCATAATGGTCGTTACTTCCAGAACCAATTTGTATATCGTAACCTACTATTAAAGAGAAAGAGTTATACGTTATCTAAAATGCCTTAAAAAATGTAATTCAAAGCCGTTGATCGTCGGACGATGTCTATTTTTTGTCGGGATTTAATCCACGCTAAAATGTACCCAATTTGATTATCTAACACTTAATTAAAGATACATTATGAGAGATTCGATAATAGTTAAAAACTAGATAATGTAAATGCAATTTGCTGAAAATTTCATTCAAATTGATCCACTATGAACCGAGAACAAAGCGATTGAATTTCCGCCTAACCTTGATCATCATTACTAACGTCAGTACGATAAACAGAATAGTCTCGATTATCCATTTAATCGTTAAATCGTGAAGGAAAGTTATGCACTAAATCGGCTCACAATCCACTAAAGATCGCAGGCTAGCTATGCCATCTAGAGTTGATTATGGTCTGGATAGGTTAATTAATATCTAATTAATAATTTAGATAACATTTCAGGCCTTAAGAAAGACCTGCAATAGACAGATTTAGATAACAATTTAGACAACATTTCAGGCCTAAAGAAAGACCTGCAATAGACAGATATAGCTCTTGCATAATGTATGTTTAAGAAAGAAAAAAAAGTAAAATATCAGTGGTAGCTGCTTGGATCCAATTAAATTTAAATGAAGCATGCCAAAAGATATTAGCCAAGATCATAGGTGAGATTGGCTTGTTGTTGAAATAAAATTGAACCATATATCAGTCCCAAAATGACCTAGTTTATGTCCAATGGACGTTAAACCCCAGCCCCTCTCTCTCTCCCTCGCTCTCTCTCTCTCTCTCTCTCTCTCTCTCTCTCTAAACACAGAACTTAACTGGACCATTTTGGGACTAATATTCAATTTGCGCCATCTTGTAGTATGCGATGGATTCAAAATCCCTCAAATGATGTTCAGAGACTTCAAGAACATTTTATAACTAACCTGTGTTATGATGCAAGTTAGTACACATGACGTAAGCAGGACGATTACTTCGACAAAATTCCTGATCATATGGACAGTCGTCTAATTTGTTTTCCATTCCACTACACTGTATTCAAAATATATAAAGACAAACACGTGTTTTTAAATTTTTTTTTAGTAAAAATGATGTCTTCTTTTAAAGATTCATTATGTAAGATTTCGATAAAAAGCTGACAGTTCTTGCTATAATAGTTAATGAAAAGTAAATATGTTGAAAATTAAGGTCAAATTATTTCACTATGGCAGTTTGAAGAACAGTGCAGTCTCGATTTTTATCTCTACCGGTGCTACGGTAAATAACAAAGTTTCGATTATCCATTTTTAAATCAATTTATTAACTGCGTTTAAATCCGTTGAAAATTAAAACCACCCTAAGCTCTACACAGTTGTTTATGGGCTTGACATGTCTAATCAATGATTTATATAACGTTTGTGGCCAAACGGCAGATTGGCATTAGGTAGATTAGCTCTTACATAATGCATCTTTAACCTTTCTAAACAAATATTTATTTTTATAGATCTAAATAACACAGCAGATTAACCCAACTGAAAACTTTAATTCTAGCTGGGCCCTACTAATCATCGACAAGAACGTTTTTTGGTCATAGCAAATTGGGAAAAATATGGATAATTGAAATATTGATAAATGCTGTCAGCGACAAGATTGTTTAGTGGTCTGTAGAGCCCAAAGTATTGCCAAATGTGACCGATGAGGCAATATATGTTATACATAAGCATATTTTACAAATCATAACTAAAATCTTTCATAAAAAATTGAAAACATTATGGATGATTGTAATTTGGACACAAAAGTCTTGCTATAATCACCAACAAGAACCGATAAGAGAGTTCTTTTGTTAAATCACCTTTGACGGTTCTTGTTGGTGATTAGTAGGACCAACCAGTAATGATATCAAATGAACACATAATCAATTGGTACCCACAGAAGATTCGACTACTGTCACATTCACGGGTACTTGGTAACCCTGTTGTTCGTGTTCTTGGTGTGACCCTCTATAAAAAAAAACCCTACCGCTCCCACAATTCGATTACGATCTATATGAAGCTCGGTATATGGTTGTTCGGTGGAAGATTTGGCCTGTCCCTTGTTCATATAGTACGGTTGTTACTTCTTATAAACATTGGAAACTTTCGTCTAAATTCTTCAAAATTTACAAAGGAGAGGATATCCCTGGTGTTTTATAAATAGTGAGCATACCCCGCTTTGATCACTACACCCGCCACTACGTATAGCAAACTGTAGTTGTTTGGACTGGACTGGTTAATGGATAAAGGTTTATGAATACTTCCTTACCTTAAAATTATTGAATATTATAGGGTCAGTGGTATTTTGAAAGGGTGAGTACTGCAACTTGTAGCTATATGTAAAGCCGAGATGTTTGCATGCTACAGACGCCGCTGTGGAATCAAAGTCATCGTTGCAAACTAGACCAGTTACTTGGTTATGAGTTAACTGAATACTGCCAACAAATGGTCCCGGTTTCAGCTCAACTAAAATTGCAACATAAATAAATTAATACATAATTACTTCTGCATTCTGGACCACCTTACACACATAAATAAGTTATTATTATCAGGGAGGGGGGTTTAACGTCCACTCGACACAAACTAGGTCATTTCGGGACTAACACATGGTTCAGTTTTATTTCAATAACTCGCTTGCAATGGGAGGAAACCCACGAGGTTGGACAGGCGACCCTACTCCGTGTCACGTACAACCGGGGAATCGTAACCACTCCAGTTGACTCAATGGCTGACCTAATGATACAACGCGTACGTGCTAACCATTCGGCCATCCAACCCCGCAAAAATGGTCACATGTTTGTGTTCTTAAGACGGGTGTTTCAATTTGAAACATGAACTGGCTCAATACACTTGATAATCTTTTTCTTGGTTTTCTTGGGGTGATGCTCTTTAAAAAATGGAGATCCATGTTAGTGTACCAGCGCCTAACCCACTGAGCTACATCAATATAATAGTTGATGACTACTGAAGTAAGATGGCGGAGATTAGGCCATTAGCTGTTTCATATTTTCTGTTATACTTGTCTGATTAAAGGAGCTAAATCGCTAATATTTTGGACCTAGAAATTGACCCAAATGGGTCGCAACGCATATAATAATGTAATCTGATTGTATATAAACTGATTTACATTCAATTGTTTCCGCTTTGACTCTAATTTCAAATCCGTTATGCCCAGCGAAATACGACATGAGTCTCAACCGACTGGCAATTTTTAGCGTCTGGTTATTCAAGTCTATTGTGCATGCTCTCCAGATAAGATATGGCGTCACCGCTTGATATGAGTTGTGAAATATGTCTAGCACTGTTCTTCGTGTCCCTTGTTCCAAATGACGCTGAAACGCATTATGGTACACGATTCGTGTACCAATGGTAAAATGTGTATTATTTTCTTAAATATTGGATATCAGAAGCCTACCTTTTCTCGGTAAGACCACAACATCCGTGTTGATTTGAATCGACAAATAGAGACTTAGCTACTTTAACTATTGTTCACCTGAGATATGGCAGTCCACAGATAAAATG